GTGATAACCCCCTAGTTTGCTGTCAAAGGAAAGAAGAACAGCTTTGGATGGAAACTTGAGTATGTATGGCATGTAAGACCCTTGTTGGGGAACTTCTTCCAAATCCAGATAATCTCTTTTGGTATTTATACTGGTCATCGTAGTTCTTTGAGTAAAAGACCAACTTCAAGGGGCTTTGAGGACCTTTGCTTCAATCATCTGATATCCTGCTAAAAGTTTGAATGGGAACTGAACTTGAACAGGATTACTGATGAACTGTATCATCTTATACAGGTGTGAAAAGGAATTCGAACATGGGCATTCTGAGAACTGGTCAGACTGTTCTCATTGCTGTTCTCATTGTTCTAATCATGTGTGGTTATTTAGGAAAGGCAACCCACCTTTACTAATTTCTCTTAACCTCATTCCTTGGTCAAGGTAAACCTAGTGAGTGTTGCATGAGGAATGGTAATAAACTATATAACATGTCTTACTGATAAACGTTTAGAAACAACATTAATTCTGTGAAAACAAATATGAAAAAGTAGTTTTCAAGAGATAACAGTAACATGATTATTAACAGGAGAATTTTATTACAGAGTTACATTGATTTTTATTACAAATCATATTTTGTAATAAAATATTTTATTACAGTGCTCTGTATGTAGCTCTCTGCCTTGAATGTATTTTAAAAATTGGGTTTGGGCCAAAATCTTATATGCAGAGTATCATAAAACAATGTCTCAGACACCTGACAGCATATTTCTAACTATTTCTTACAATAACTTTTTGTGAAGTAGGTTATTTAAAAACTTTGTTTCCAAAGCTGTAAAAATAATTAGTAACATAAACATGTCGTTTGTGTGTGTTATGAACAAAAACTTGCTTTGAGAAAAGGTTTCAGCTGGTATTTATTGCAAACCTCCTAAATAATCACAAGGATATTGTAAGGGTAATTAATGCTAACATAACTTAGAAAACAATAAAATGTGCAGCATAGGGGAAATTCCAGGACCAGGATCGAGAACCTTTGCTTTACAGTAAGAGTATATTCTCAGTTCAGTGGAAGATCAACAGTTCAATTCAGTTCAAAGTCCCTGAAATGAAATTAGTCTTTAAACATGTTGCATTACTTTTCTGCATATATTGTACTTGTTTTAAGTAATTTTATAGTAAAATAAATAGAGAAATATGATTGCAACAAGCAAAATGATCTGCCAGTATAATTTTACTGCATTTGTATTTCAATTTGAGAAATATTAGACATATCAACTAGATGTAATGTGAATTCACTTTACAAGATATTTTTTCCTGAACTGCATGTTCAGCTATCAACACAGAGTTCATGCTGAAAAGTGTTTTGCTGTATTTTTCAAAAAAAAAATCCCTGCAATCTAGCCAGCTATGTTTCTTTGCCATGTATTCTGTTTGTTTAGTTTTTGCACATTACCCCTGAAAACTTTATCACATGCATAAAGTAATGTATTGATGAAATATGTTGGCTACTTACATGTTTTCTTTTCCTTTTTTAAATCCAATTCACAGACCTTGGACATGACTATGATGTACGGGTACATCAAGGGTCCAGTCTTGAGCCTACAGAAGTATCATTTGGAATAAAGGACCAACAGACTACCGGACCTTCAAAATCATTGACAAATCATTCAACATCAATCAACATTGGCTCTTCCACATCACCAGAAAGTGAGAGTCTCCATAAATGAATAACTCTGTAAACCAGAATGTTCAAATAGACGTAAGTTCTACAACAGGCACTTAATGCTACACTGCAAGAAATCTTATATTATGTCTCATTATGAGATGTAAGAATATTGCAAGGTTATTTAATCCATTTTGTACATCCATTTTTAATCCATGTACAGTTCAGTCTGACAATGTTATAATAGCTAGTAACAGAACAGCTACACGTTAAAGGACTTAGTGAAGTGATATGTTTCATGTCTTGTACAAACATATATTTTGTTTAATTATAACCTCTACATTCCTCCAATCAAGACATGCACACACACTTTCACTTTATTTAAGAAAACATGTTCTATTAAATAATTTTTCTTTAATCTCACAGGTTGGCAAAGTCACAGCCAAAGTGATATCTGTCCAGGCATCCTCTGAGAATGTGTACATTTTGAGTACAACATTCATGATGAGACTGGAAGGATAAAGCTGGTGATCAAAGACCTCATCTTTCAGACTGTTCCCAGACACTCATATGCCATTTTTAATACAGCAACATGGGATCAAGGTAGCACACACCTCATTTCCACATGAGGCACAATATTTGAGTGAGTGGCAGATATTTCAGTACCTGGACATATTTTTTAAAACACTGCGCTGTCTACTCGCAACACTCTTGCAACCTAAACTAACCCACAAATACCTCTACCTCAACCTTCTATGCTCAAATCAGCACATTTGCAGCACATTTTTGTCTATACTTGTAATGTAATACTTTAAACGTTTTTTCTTATTTTTGGACGTAAATATGTAAATGTATTTAAGTCAGTGCTTAAACTGACTTCTGTACTTTTTTACTATGTTACTAAACTACATACTTATTTAGAGAATAGAGTAGAACAGCTTTAAATGATATTGAGTGTGTAGTTTTTTACTTCTCTAAATTAAAACTTATGAATTAATTGCACCAGAGGCCTCACAGTTCGTCAGAATTCCTCAGTTTAAAAAATGTGTACTTTTTCCCTGCATGAAACGGTATCTTGACAAGGTGTCATAAATTTAGTCAATATAGTTTGTTTCTCATATTTATATAGCTGTAAGCCTTTTATGAGATTCTTTAACTTCTTTCTAAACATCATCTTACTAGTTTTAACAAGTAAATTCAACTCACTACCTTGGCAGATTATTTTGCTAGTATCAAGCATATTCATAAAAATAAGCAACACGGTGACATAATTCCACTTGATAAATTACTTATAACAAATGCAAAATGTTTAGAAATAAGTTAAACAATCATAAGCTTACAACAATCTCAACATGAGTTTTGTAAGGCATATTGACAACAATTAAGACACCATTTTTTCCCATGTGCTTATATGCCAGTTCTTGAATGTCACTTAAAATAATTTCTGACTCTTTGGTATACAGTAAAATTTAGACTTCTTTTGCTAAAAATTATAAAGTATAAAAAAATTATAAAAAGTATAAACTACTTCAACTATTACTTCAAGGGTATGCACCCACCGCACAATGAACATGAACACACTTTTTGTAAATACATTTATGATGACCTATCTGTACCAAGAGTTTGTATGTTCTCCCCGTGTCTGCATGGGTTTCCTCTGGGTTCTCCGGTTTCCTCCCACAGTCCAAAGACATGCAGTCAGGTCAACTGGACATGCTAAATTGTCCCTAGGTGTGTGTGTGTGTGTGTGTGAATGTGTATGTGTGTCTGTCTGCCCTGTGATGGACTGGCGACCTGTCCAGGGTGTATCCTGCCTTCCGCCCAATGACAGCTGGGATAGGCTCCAGCACCCCACCGCGACCCAGAAGGATAAGCGGTTTAGATGATGTGTGTGTGTGTGTGTGTGTGTGTATCTGTACCAACATTCATGCATTGGTAACTACACTATATGTCACACGTGCTTCATGTGCATTGTGCTAACTACGATAATTTATAATTATATAAATTCCCAGTCAAATTTGCAATAGAAAATGCTGTCATAAAATTGATGGGCTGTCAATGTAAAAGCTTTTGCCTCACAAAGAAACCCACTGTCCAATTAGCTAACTATTTAGACATACTTTTACCATGATTCTATCTGCTGGCACAATACGATACACCAATATATTCTCGTGAGACCTGGTAATTCATTGGGTAATTCATTCATATGAGTCCCCAAAGGATATTACAAAAACCATGTAAGCTACAGTGCTGAAACCTGGTGCGCCTTGTAGAGGACATCCTGGCCTTTCCAGTTATATGTCATTTGTTTGTTGGGGTGTGTCATTCGCAGCAGGAGTTCTGTCTCTTCAAAATAGCTGCCATCTCAGCAACCTCATTTTATGGATGCAAGAGAAGTAAGTAGTTGACAAGTATGCATTTAAGATGTTTCTAAAGCCTATAGTTGATATGCTTGAGGTAGAAAAACATTTAAGCTCATTTTCAGAGCAATTTTTATGGATACACACAAAAGTTTAGCCAAATAACAACAGTATACTTTTTTGATGTCCTTTGTGGTGCACACTGGAACTAACAATCTGTTTTTAGATGAAATTCATGGTATCACAGGTGACAGGAAGTTGACTGAGGCAGAGAAAATTAAAGGATAATCACACCCCTCTTGATCCAGTAGGATTAGAAGCAACAACATGTAAGCTTAATAGTTAAATACATTGCTGTGATATTACTGTATGTGTTTTTTTTTATTATTATTATTATTTATGGTGCTCATTTTTTTTTGTACCAACAGTATTTTTAGGTTTTACTCTTATTGCTTAATGGATAACTGGAATTAAGTGTATGCAGGCATTTAAGGGAGGGATCTGAGCTTTTATACAATTGGACTTTTAAAAATTAAAACATTAAAAATGAACTAATTCTCCTCCCTCTCCATTTATACCTAAGATTCATGCCTACCATGAAACAGTTTGCTGCTAAATGACACACTCAAAGCTGTACTGACTGGATGCCCTGAACTTTGAAGATTGATGACAAGGTTTTTGAAGTTGTTGCTGATGTTGCAGCAGTGTTTTGGCCTGATGCAGTATAGGAAACAAGACATATGACATCATTATTATTACTATCTAACGTCCTGTTGTCCACTATTAAGGACATGTATATAAAATAAAAATAAAAAAGTGTTTTTGAAAAATGTTCACTGTGAAGTTTCTTCCAGCCAATACACTAATTTTATTCTAATTTTTTCTCTGGGTCTCAGGAGGATATGGCAGGAAAAATCAACAACCAACCAACAGATTAACAAGCATGATACATTAATTATGGGTTTGATATGAAGCCATAATGTCAATATGTGTGTGTGTGTATTGTATACAATATATTCGTGTTTATGGGAGAGTTTATGTAGGAAATAAATGCTATAGCTCACGTGCATATGTCACGGATGGAGCTCGGGCGCCATTGTGTTCAAATCGTGAACTGACAAGTCGGAGTAAGACCGGAAAACTCCTTATTTTAAATGTAAAACTACTGTATGAAATGTGGTTTGGTCGTAGTAATTAGACTATTATTGTCATTTTATTTTCGCAGCCTCACAAACAGTAATTCAAGAAGTCACTCAGCAACACATTTCCGCATAAGAAAATCTCGCTTTTTCTACTACTTGCAGGTTCTTATTTTGACCACACGATGGAATCCAAGCTCTATTGATGACAAAACGCCCTCCGCCCGAAACACCTGGGCGGTCTTTCTGCACTGTTTCCGCTTTCTCTAATCAGCAAACTAATAACTCAACTACATATTCGGTGCTATTATACAATAACTCATCACATAGAGCATCTTACTGTACTACAGACACTTCTCGGAATGAACATCTCGGCAGCTGAGCTATAACTAAGCGCACCACACAACTGCACAAAGAGATGCTCGCTTTCATACTCATTCAGCGCTCGCGCGCTCTTCATAAAGCCCTATTACCACATCACAGCACATAACAGAACTCGCGGTTTGCTAGAACACGTGCTCTTTCGGACTGCAACAATTAGGTGGCTCTCAAAAGAGCCTTTTGGGTTTTTGGTACAACTTGGGAACACTCCAATTAATTTAAGCGCGCTCTCCGCGGATACGGCGGGCCAACTGGATGTCCTTAGGCATGATGGTGACTCTCTTGGCATGAATGGCGCATAGGTTAGTGTCCTCGAACAGACCCACCAAGTACGCCTCGCTAGCCTCCTGCAGGGCCATGACGGCAGAGCTCTGGAAGCGGAGATCGGTCTTGAAATCCTGAGCGATCTCACGCACCAGGCGCTGGAAGGGCAGCTTGCGGATCAGCAGCTCTGTGGATTTCTGATAACGGCGGATTTCCCTCAGAGCCACGGTGCCAGGCCTGTAACGGTGAGGCTTCTTCACACCGCCAGTGGCCGGGGCGCTCTTACGAGCAGCCTTGGTAGCCAGCTGCTTCCTCGGGGCCTTACCACCGGTAGATTTACGGGCGGTCTGCTTGGTTCTTGCCATGATGTGGCACTCCACTCTTTTCCACAAAAGAAAAAGAATGAGCTCATTCGCATGCCGCAGCTTTTTTTAAGCATTTGAGCTGCTCGCCGCTCATTGGGCGTCTTGGATGTTCCCGCCTCTCATTGGACGGCTGTTCATGCGTGGTCTAAACGCTATTGGGCGTCTTCTGTTTTGAAAAAAGACACCGCCCCACCGCCGTGGCGGGCTCAACTACTTAATTTTTTTTTCTCTTACACGCGGTGTGTAACGTTACTCTGATTTTTGGTTCATTTATAATCACATGCCTGTTATTTCGCCTTGACTCGCGCAGTTACACAGTGGTTCGTTTGTTTTTATTCGTTTTATTCATTTATTTTATTTGAGTAGAATAAGAGCTTTTAAACCTTATTCAGTACGTAATGGGAGGGGGGGGGTTACATTGCGCCTTTTTTTTCACTAAGACACAATAACTGGTAATTACTGATCATTCAACGGCCGCCTTTTTCTTCCTCTTTTGGTGGGAGAGCAAAAGAAAAAACTGCACTTCTGTCGTTGAGGTGGGTGGCCCTTAAAAGAGCCTTTGGTTCTGTACAAATCAGGAGAAAAGTAATTTACTTGGTCTTGGCCGCTTTCTCGGTCTTCTTGGGCAACAGTACAGCCTGAATGTTAGGCAGCACGCCACCCTGAGCGATGGTCACTCCTCCGAGCAGTTTATTCAACTCCTCGTCGTTACGAACAGCCAGCTGTAAGTGACGAGGAATAATACGCGTCTTCTTGTTGTCGCGAGCGGCGTTGCCGGCCAACTCCAGGATCTCAGCGGTCAGATACTCCAGCACGGCTGCCAAATAGACGGGCGCACCGGCGCCGACGCGTTCGGCGTAGTTACCTTTACGTAGAAGCCTGTGAACACGGCCTACAGGAAACTGGAGCCCAGCGCGAGAGGAGCGAGTCTTGGCCTTGGCTCTAGCCTTACCGCCGGTCTTACCTCGGCCACTCATTTTGTGTTTCAATCAATTTCACCAAACAAAACTGAAATGAAACGTTACTGAGTCCGAACGCCCTTCTTATGAGAGCGACTGCGTTTCTATTGGCTAAAATGCGACGGCCGCCAACAACCAATCACATTAGCGCCGGCCAACTCTAGGGTCCGCCCACCGCTCTTCTCCAAGCATCCCGCTTCTGCCCCTCCCCGTCGTGCTGCCACTTGTGTGCGAGTCTGAGTCTGAGTGAGTGAGAGGGAGAGAAAATGAGATATCAAGACAAAGAAGGAAAGAAAGAAACTTAAATACGTCCCTGTTTTCCTACCCCATTCCCACTCCTATTCTCATCCATGTAAATGCAAATGGTCACTCGATTATTATGCTGAGCCCGGTGTTCATATAATATCACTACTGTCTAGTAATGACCAGCGTGAAGGAAATGCTCTTTGAATAGAAAATGTGGGTGGCTCTTAAAAGAGCCGTTTTGGATTCTGGGAAGTAAACAGCGCGTTTACTTCTTGGGTGCGGCCTTTTTCGCCGCCTTGGGCTTTGCTGCTTTGGGCTTGACGGCCTTTGTTTTCTTCGGGCTCTTGGCCGCCTTCTTCGGGGCCGCCGGCTTCTTGGCTTTCTTGGGAGACTTGGCGATTTTCTTGGCGGCCGCGGGCTTCTTTGCCGCTACCTTCTTGGCTTTTTTCGGCGATTTCTTGGCGGCCGCGGGCTTCTTCGCCGCTACCTTCTTGGGCTTCTTGGCGGCGGCCTTCTTGGCTTTCGGCGCCGCTTTCTTTGCCGGCTTCTGCTTAGCCTCGGTTTGCTTTTTGCCGAGCTTGAAGGAGCCTGACGCACCGGTGCCTTTGGTCTGCACCAGAGTGCCCTTCGTCACGAGGCTCTTGAGGGCGAGCTTGACGCGGGATTTGTTCTTCTCCACGTCGTAACCGCCGGCAGCCAGGGCCTTTTTGAGAGCGGCGAGAGACAGGCCGCTTCTCTCCTTGGACTGTGAAACAGCCTTGACAATGAGCTCACCGACGCTGGGACCGGCTTTCTTGGGCCGGGCTGCGCTTTTCTTCTTGGGAGCTTTGGCCGGCGCGGCTGGAGCGGGAGCAACTTCTGCCATCCTTTAGCTTTTGCTGGGAGCGGAGCAAGAATGAACACAAACTTCCCTGTTCAGAGGAAACTCAGTTGCACGCGAAGTCCGGCCCCTTAAAAGCCACATGAGAACGGTGTAGACTCAACCCGGCGGGCGCTGTGCAGCCGTGCCTCACTGACGCGCCCGCATTTGTGTTTTCTTGTGCCATTTATCAGGCAAAATACGAGCGAAAGCGCCGCTTGGCGAGCGCCCAACGGTTCGCTCTTCTAGAAGAGGCTCTGCCGTGTGTCCCGAGTACGGGAATGTGCGCGCAGCGACGCCTCGTTTCGTAGGTCGATCTCAAAAGGGCGCCGCGCGGCCGCCGCTCCGAACCTGAAACGATGCATTTGGAGCGATAATCGGTGGAAAACAGGCGCAAACTACGGCGTGAGCCTTCGGAAAGATCAATGGCGCGTTCGAGGAGAGCATCAGCGAGGGCCTGGCGAACTCCTAGCGGCCGAGTGCCTCGCTGACTATGGGCAAAACGAGCTCTATTGGAACGCATAAAGCACACGCGTGAAGTCGGCGGCCGCTGGGACCAGAGCAAGTCCTCTGTTGATGTGCTGTTGTAAAAAGCAGTATATAAAAAAACTTTGACCTTAACCCCGAGATCCGAGGCCAAGCTCTTTCTAAACCTAATTATTTTTACCATAAGTTCGCCGTAAACCGAGTAGGAAAGCTTTTCCTAACCCTAGCAGAAAATTAAGCCTAACCCCTCTCTGACCCTAATTTGATTTAGCCTAAACTCATTACAAACGTAGTGGCCACCATCTGTGAAATACTCAGACTACATCATAAGTCAATGGTCTAGCTCCAAACCAACTTTTACTCATTATAAATATAAGCCTGGGGCCTAGATGTGAGCCTACATATGCTCACTCTAAACACTTCCAAAGCTTAAAACCAAGCCCCATACCTACAACTGCTTTATCTAACTAGCCTAAGGCCTTGCCCTAAACCAACTTTGACATTCTGCAACTTCACAAGAAACCAAAGGCCTAGGTCTAAACCTAATATTACTTACTCTAACATCATGATGGGCAAGAGGCCCAGCTGAAATGCTAATTTTGGCTTACTCAAACTACATCATTATCTGAAAGCCTAGCTCTGTACCAGCTTTCATTTCTCCAACTTCATCATCAGTCTAATGGCTCGCTATAGAACTCTGTTCACTCACTCTAACTCCATGACTTTGACATTCTCTAACTCCAACATAAATCAAAGGCCAAGCTCTATAGCTACTGTTACTTATTCTGAATACTCGGTAAGCCTGAGGCCTAGCCAAAAAATAGCGTAACAGTAGTTTAGAGAGCTAGGACTTAGAAGTTTACGATTCACTCTAACTTCTTCATGAGCCTAAGGCTTTTCTCTACACCTATTAAGTACTTGACTACATCAGATGCCAGACGCCCCGCTGTGAGGCTCCTCTTGCTTATCTAGCTACATCACAAGCCTAAAGCTTAGCCTTATTTGACTGCATTATAAGCCTGAGGCATAGCCGTAAGCCTCCTTTCACTTACTCTAACTTCATCAACAGCCTAATGGCTATTTCTGTACCTAATTTTATATGCTTTATCGTAAACCTAAGGCTTAGCTCTTAACCTAGTATTACTTAATCTGTTTACATTATGCTTATTCCAAGTACTTCATGAGCTTAAAGCATAGCTCTTTACCTATTTTTATTTCTTTAATTTCATGTACCTCCTTTCATTCATCCTCATTTCATCATATGGCTGTGGCCTACCTCTAAACTACTTTTGGTTGCTCTAACTACATCATAAGCTTAAAGCCTAGTCCTGAACACACTACTACCAACTCTAACTTCATCAAATGCCAGAGCCCTAGCTGTAAACTCACTTTTACTTTCTCTAACTTCAAAACGTGTCTCTAAACATAGTTTTGCTTATGCTAATTTCATCATAATCTTAGAGTATAGCTCTGTAGCTACTTCTACTCTCCCATCAAAACTTCATCATAAGCATCAAGCCTTGCTATGTTTCTCTTTTCATTCACTTTAGCTACCCTAGAAGCCAATAGGCCAGCTATCAACCTATTATTTAACTGTAGGCTTACAGTATAGTTAGAGTAAGCACAAGTAGATTTAGAGTTAGGCCTCTAATTTAGCCTTATTTTGATTTAGATTTAGCCTTAGATTTAGCCTCAGTCTAACAGTGTAGTTAGACTTAATAGAAATAGGTACATGGCATGACATTAGGCTTATGATGAAGCCTAATAAGTCATAAGTCATTACGATGAAGCCATAAGTCTCATGCCTAGCTGTATGTACATCATGAACTCAAAAGCTCGCTCAATGCCTACTTTTATCTCTGTAACTTCATCAGAAGTCTAATGCCTTGCTCCCTACCTTCTTTCATTTCATCATCTTATACATGTCCTACATCTAAACCTACCATTGCTTGCTCATAACTTAAAGCCTAGACGTTACACTTTCTCTTCCTTACTCTAACATCATCATGAGCCAGCGGCCTCGCTCTAATTGTAGCATTTACTCAAACTACATAAGCCTGAGCTCCAGTTCTAAGCCTACTGTAAGCACAAATGGCCTAGCCCTAATCTCACTTCTACATTCTCTAACTTCATCATATGTGCCTATGGCCTAGCTCTAACATCGCATTAAGCCTAAGGTCTAGCTTTGCACCTGTTATTATGCGCTCTGACTACAAGAGAGCTCTGAGGTCTAGCTGGAAGCTTCCTTTTGCTTACTCTATCTTCATCATAAACCTAAGGCCTACATTTAAACCTAACTGTACAATTAATCTGAGGCATACGTGTAAGCATACATATGCTCACTCTTACTTCATCATAAGCCAAAGGCCTGACTAACCAATTACTTCCTCACCCTGACAGCATCATTAACCTGAGGCCATACTCTGACTACTTTAGAAGCCAGTAGCTTACCAATAAACCTATGTAAAACTACTTTTGCTGTAAGCAATAGCTTGGATCAGTTCCATGAGGTCCATTTTGCAGAAATGTGACCTACATCTCATAGTGAATAAAACAACTGCCGAATATGAGTATTACACCAAACATTAGTTTCTTTAGTTTTTTTTTTTAACCAAATCATTTCCCTTTTTTCTCCTATCCATTACTATTATGCACCTTTTCCTTTCATTTGTTCCTATCTCGTTCCTCCATTCCTCCATAAACTGCTATTACTCTTCAATAAACTTATTTGACTCCAATTACCCTGTTTAGGTTTATTTAATGAATCATTCAACAAATAATCATTTATTTAGATGTTTATTTTCAGCTGAAAACACGTTTTGAAACCTACACTAAATCAAGTAGTTTCAAATTGATTATATCTCATTTACCGCTTTACCTCTCTCTCTCTCTCTCTCTCTCTCTGCTTCTCTCTTTTTCATCTTTGTCCTCAATGATAACTGAAAAAGCACACATTACACATACGTTATAAAAGCTGTCTGTACCAAACCCCAGCTAACAGAAAAGGTAGGTACTCATACAGTTAATGAGACAAAATACAGTCTAATGTAGGGGAGACTGGGTACAGTTGTAAAACTTTTTGTTTCAGCACCTGTAACTCACTGAATTTGTGAGCTAAAGTTCTCAAACTTTTACACAAAGTAATCATAGTTTTTTACTACAAATTACTTCAATTTAATCCTCAGCAAGGATATCATAGACTTCATAAGTTTAAGTCAAATACATGGTGTTTTTTTGTTACAACCTACCCTACTACCAGGGAAGGTTGTAACACATGCTGGGGTAAGTTATAACAATTAGATATAAGAGGCAAAAACAGTGACCACACCATGCAATATGCTACAAAAGGATGTTTATTGAAATAAAATAACCCAGAACAATGCTTTTCATCCCATGTTTGTGATTGTTTCATGTTATATATTACTGCCACTTGATATGTAAATTTTCTGATCTAAAAGAAAGTGGAGCAGAGTTCATAGATACAAAAAGTTTTTTCGATTTGTCTGCCACCTGTGCTAGTATTCAATTTTATTCCACTCCCCAGTGGTTAACCTGTCATATGCTTATCTCATGTGGAGTTTGTCCATAACACAGGTCTGTTGCCTGAATCAAAATTTCAGCCAACACTTCTCCTGCATCTCAGAGAAAAGTCTGTTGCTGCTCCAGTAACCTACACTTGGAAGATCACTAGACCCCAGGTCTTTTGGCTTCTGCAGTGATTTGCAGTATCTGCTCAGTGTCACATGGCAGATCCTATGTGCCTTTACAACTGATCAGACTGACTTGCCCTTCTTTGTGACTCCATCATTTGCTTTTGTAAAACATCAGCAGGCACACCTCTGTCAGTCTTTCCTCTGTAAGTCCTCCTGACTAGGCATTCTATAAAATTATTAAAATCAGTAAAATGTTCCAAGTTGTATGTATGGGGATGGTTGTAACATTTTTCATAGATGTGTTACAACCCACCCCACACCTGTCAGCCATTGTTTAGCCATCTGTATTAGCAAAGTGGTCGAAATTAGCAGGGGAATATGCATCATATTTTGCCTGAGAAACTACAGCTGAATCTAACATAAGCCTTATGGTTTTATCTGTGATAGTACTAAACAAAATTCAGTGTTGGGCAAAAAAATACGTTTTTACCAGAAAATCCATTTTTTCCTCTATAGAATCTGTATTTGCTTGTTTCCAGCCTTGACAAACACCATGTGGGATCAGGGTGGAAGTGGGTAAAAACTGAAATGATCACATGAATCCTGTCCCTGACTGGTGGAATTGGTGGTGTTACAACTCTACAAGCGATGAGGTAGGTGCCGGACAGCCGTCGCGACATTCAACCTCCGTTTGCGACTTCCGGGTTCATACCCCCGTTCCCCTTAATGTGTCTGGCAGAAAACAGAGATCACTTCCAGCATCGCAATGCAATCGATTACACATACGTCAAGGTATGTAGCATATTTTTTGGTTCAAACTGCTTCATCCTAACGGGAGTTACAACAGAATATTCGGGGCCTCTTTCGAGTGAATCACCTTCTAGTATGTGTAGGTAACAAAATACAGT